TTGGAATGAAAATCTGGATTATTATTTTGTGGCTGACAACATGCATCTTCTCTTCAAATAATTATAATTTTACATTTTCATAATGGTTTAAAAGTATGGTTGCATTGCTCCCTTTTGGTCTTTCGAACTCTATATTCACTGTTCTCTTGATTTTGATTCCTCCTCAAACTTTGTGAGGACTGGCATTTAGTTTTAGGGGGAATAGCTAGAATTATGGGTCTCTCTGGCTCACAGATTCATTTTCTTTTAAAAACCTCAATTCTTAGAGAAAGTTTGATTTGTCTTTCACAGTCAAGAATTTTGCTTGGCTACACCTCATATGTGCTTCATTTTCTTTTCAGTGATTCTTTCATAGCTTCAAATTCAAATATTTTGTGAGCTCAAAAACTTCCCTTGCTTTCATTTTTGCTGTGTTCTGATTCCATTTCCTGTTCTGGGATTCCTATTTTGCATAGGCTAAATCTTTCAGCCTTCTCATTTCTTACCTTTTTCAATCATTTATTATTTTTCTGTGAATCTTGAAAGAACTCTCAAGTTTATCTTCAAAATTCACTAACTGCATTTCTTCTGTATACCATAAGCCAATCATTCCTTCATTGGGAATTAACATGGTAAATGTATTTCCAGTAGTCACCCAGTATTTCCAGACCCCAGATTGTTTCATACTCATGACTGTCAATTCTCATTTTGTAGCTAAAATATCTTTTCAAATGATATCAAGAGAAAGATTTTAAAAATATTCACCTTTTGTTTCTGACATATATTATAACACATTTAGTGGAAAATAATAAGCAGCACAGGAAATAGAAAGGGGCAGAAGTGTTTGACAAGTTAGTGTATTGTGATCTGAAATACTGGTGTATCATCTTTAGCCTCCAATATTAATTATGGAGTATTATTAAATGTTGGCTCTAGCTCTAACATATCTTGATGGAGAATATGGGCCATACAAGGAAAATTAGAAAACAAGACTGAAAAAAAACTAGGAGCAGACAACATGTACAGGCAGGAATATCAGAGGTCATCCTTACAATGCAGTCCTTTGGAACCATTTCTGATGTTTCAGCCATTGACATGGAAAGATACTTCCTGCATATGGGCAGTGCTAAAAGCAATTATAAAAATTATATATGACAGGATCCTATTGATCCTACTGTTGTAATAAAAATGATAAGCTTATCAGTCATGGCCACAGGCCGGGAAAAATTGTGATCTTTTAGTTCAAAACAGATAAATTTGCTGAATCAATACAGACTTGTACTCAGCAGAGGGCGCTGAGGAGAGAGAGAAAGAAGTGAGGGGAAAAACTGGTGTGTATTTGTGGTGAAAGGGTTCATAACATAAAGATTATTACCATAGACCCATAACTGGAGTTTGACTATCACTTATATTGTAAAACGTTTGGCATTATGTTACCTGGAGAGTCAAACATGGATTTTCAGTGAGTAAGGGGATATGAGCACAATTAAATGCCTATTTTGTGTCCAGTACTGATCTATACTGCAGTCTCCTACATAAAATGTATTTTAATGTTTCATCAGTTTAACACAGACTTGACAAAGTATTGATTAATGATAAAATCAACAAAGTTTAGAGATACTGACAAAATCTCACAGCTACACACCACTTTAGAGTTTTTTAAATGTTTTCAGATTCATTATTTCATTTCATACAACATCCTGTGAAAAAGACCCTTCTTTTAAAGAGGAAGGAAGAAACTGGCTAAGTAATTTGTGGAGTGTGGCAAAGTCAAAGTCTCACCTAGGCCTCTGTGCCTGGACATACCAATTACACTCCTGTTTCTCTAACAAAATCTTAATAAATGATATCGTGACTCTGATAGAGCCACATGATATGCACATTAGTTCATACCAATGCAAATGAAAGAATTTTGGTCCTCCATTTTTATTTCATTTAGTTATTTATTATAAAGATTTACTTATTTATCTTTTTTATAGAAGAACTGGAGTGCGGGCCAGAGGTATAAGGGATGAGAGGATTCACCAGAGACAGAGTGGGGAGCAGAACTGGTGGATCTACTGAAATACACTGCTGAGGGGAGCAGCGGGCAAGACAAGAGGGGTCTGTAGCCCTGGCCGGGGATCGAACTCATATCTTTTTTTTTTTTTAAGATTTATTTATTTATTTATTTATACAAGATTGATTGATTAATTGATTGATTGATTTATACAAGCACTGGGTACAGGCAGAAGCGCGGGAGGGTGAGAGAATTCACCAGAGCCAGAACAGGGAGAGAGCAGGCAGAAGGACCAAAGTACACTGCTGAGGGGAGCAGCGGGCGGCAGGAGAGGTCTGCGCGCCATGTGGGACCCTCCTCCGGTGGCCAGGGAGCAGCCGGGGATGGAACCAGCGCTGCAGAGGCTGCGGGCAGCTTCGCAATCCAGCACTCAACCACTGCGCCACCAGGGAGGCCCTGAACTCATATCTTTTTAAAGTAAGATCTGTAATTATAATTCATATCTCTGGCTCCTGGATTAATTAATCTAGATTTGGTGGTTTCCAAAAACCTATTTGGAGATATATATTCCAAAGTTAAAACATAAAAGCAATCTGTGGAGATTATATCCTATTCTCTGTTTTTATCCTAAAGCACTCTGTCTTTCAAAAAACAATCATGACTCTGGATGATGGTGGTCTTCTTTTTTCTTCAAGTACCCGCTTAGAAAAACAGAATTTGATCTCCTGTATCAGTCTTTCCTCCCTACCAATTGTATTTTTTCACCAGTCTGAGTCCCCAAGGAAGCACTGCTTAGCACCGACAATGAGCAATTACAAATCCTTAGACTGCAGCAAGCTGCCCAGTTTCTCCACACTCCCCAGGATGAGCTCTTTAGGTTAACTAATAGTCAGGGGCCTCCATACTGCAAGTTCTTAAATATTATCAAATAGAAAAATTTTAGTGGCTAATGAGAAGTGAGAATTTTCTCAATGGCAATCTTTTTACAATAAATCCTATAATCTAGCCAGGAAGATTTCTTAAGAAATTATAAGAAAAATAAATTATTTGGGACAGAATAGAGCTATTTTCTATTTGCATTAAAAAATTTTGTCTCAAAAAACTCGATCACTGTAAGTCATGTGTTACTGTCAAGAGTAGTACCCAGAACTCACTATTTTAAAAACATGTATCACCTCATTCAAATGAGGTATCCCTAAACCCTGTATTGAAAGGAAATTATTTTAAACTTAAAAGGCGGATCATGAAGTATAGTAAAGTTGGGAAATAAACACTAGCTACAATGCACTGAAATTACAGAATGATACAGATTAGCAAAAACAGCAACAAAAAAAGTGATAATAATAAGTCACTTAATCTCTTCAGGATTCATTGTTCTTAAGTTTAAACTTTTTAAAAAGAAAGAGTTAAAAATTTCAGGATCCCTTGCAGCCCTAGAAGATAGGCATCTGGGACTTCTTGGCTCTCTTTTGCATAAAACTTTTAAATGTGGGCACTTTTGCAGCCTACATGTTCAGGGTGTGCAAAGGTTACTGGGAGCACCCGGGTCAGCTGCCTCTGACTGGGGGGCAGGATGACAAATGGAGCCTCATGCTCCACATTTCCATGGAACAGGAGATCCTCTCATCTGAATGCAATCTGGACACTAATTCTTTCTGCTAAAGGGATGGAGGAGATGAAAAATCGGCCCGCTGCAAGTGCTAGAACACAGAGGCAACAGTGATGGAATGCCCCGAGTGTAAAAGGAAGTCATAAAGTAGGTAAACAGGGATGGAGAGAGAGGAACAGAAGCCCTTCTTGACACTAATAAATGGCTGGAGAGGCATTCCCCGGGGTGAATTAGAGGGAAAACATCTCCTTTGTAAGAGTGGCTGAGACTTACCAACACCAGGAATTCTGAGCAGTTGCAGATGCAAAACCTACTAATATCCCTCCACTGATATTCAAGGTCAGGAAGTAGACATCTCAGCACAGAGCAGAAAAGAACCAGAACAAAAGAGGGCACAGAGACTGAAATGGGCAGCTCAAGGACAAAAAATATCAGCTGGGCCCAGGGGAGAAGACTCCATTAGGTGTGGCAGAGTCTGTTTCAGACACGGGAGCATCACTGAGATGGAGAGCAGAGGTTTGGCCTTCAGGATTATCCCATGTGACGCAGGCCTTCTGCTTAACTGTTGAGTACTTGTGTTGGTCTCATTCCATACAAAGGGTCCAATCATTCCCAACACAGTTTCCTGTATTTATTTTGTTCCTCGTTGAAGAAATTCTCCAGATACTGTTAGAGGATTATACCGTTTGGGTAGACCTGATCTTCGATGCTGTTCAGACTCTGTGCTCAGAGAACGCAAACAGGACAGCAGCCTCCCCCAGTTCATGTCACAACCAGACCTCTTTCTGCACCTCACACAGCTCTCAGTCAACAACTTGAAAGGTAGTGAGTGGCTGGTGCTATTACCCCCATTTTCCAAATGAGGGAGCCTGAAGCACAGAGGTGCTACCTGAATTGTCCACAGCCACAGCTGAAACAGTAGAGCTCACCCAGATAAGCTAAAACTTAGTTTTTCTGACATCTTGTGCTGCAATAAAGTTTTGCTAAGGAAATGTGAATTCTGTATCTACTACGCCTCAGGTACATAGTAGAGGACACCAGGATACAGTTTTCATGCCCCTGCTCTCACAATCTTAAAGGAGATAAGCAAGCAACTAAGAACTTTGCATATGATTTGGTGAAGGCTTTGATGTATGTGAGCACAGCACAGTGTTCTCAACCAGGTACAGTTTTGCTCCTCAGGATGTGTGCCAATGTCTAAAGACATCTTTGGTTCTTACAACTTGAGTGCAGGGTGCTACTGGCACCTAGTAGGTAAAAGCCAGGGATGCTGCTAAACATCTCTCCATGAACAGGACCGATGCCCACAATATAGAATCATGTACCCAAAGCTATGCCAAGGCGCCAGGGTGGAGAAACCCTAGTTTAGATCAGTATGGAGACCGGGGGGAAGGGAACGCACACCTACCTCACCTGAAGACAGGAAAGGACTTGCCAGGGAGAAGACTGTGCTTGGGGTAGCAGAAAAGATGAGTAGACATCCTCTTGAGCATGGACCAACTCCTAGAGAAGGAACCAACAAAGCATGAGAAACAGGAAATACTATGTAGTATTTGTAATCTGTAGCTTGATCCAAGCTGGAGCTGAGGCTGGAGAGAGTCAGGCTGAGGTTCCTGACATTTGATGCAGGGGACACACTCATGGGGATAACCAGAGCAGGGGATGGTTGGATCTGAATACTTGATAGCTTGCTATATTTGCATCCAGCAGAGAATCTCAAACTTCATTTGGGATATAGATTTTAAAAAGTACAGATTCTTGACTATCCAGTTGAGTATATATATGCATGTGCATGTGTGCATGCACGTACACACACACACACCCCAAATAACCAGAGAGAGTGAAGCACTGAGTCTGGGGTGGAGCCTAGAAACCTGCATTTTTTTTGCAGGCACCCTGTGCAATTGCAGGTGATATAAATGCTCCCTGATGTGTGGATCCTATTTGATGGTTTTGATGATGATAAGATTGTTAACCCACTACAAAGAAAACAAAAAGGAATTTGGGGAAGAAAGCAATGTATAGACTTATGCTTTTTTCTGACCCATAACGTGAGGCCAGGGGCGGTAGCGGAATCCACTGTGTTAATGCAGGTCATGCAGCTGCTCCTCTCTGGACTCTCTGGCTTGGGGAGGGCTGGGAAGAAGAGGCACTGAGGAAACGCCTGATCCATGTGATCTGAGCACACCCTCTTGGCAGCCTCTGGGAAGCCCACTTGCTTCTACAAAACCTGTCAAAATTCTCTGTCCACAGCCTTGTTGGTACAGCGGTACCTGCTTCCTGTTCCCAGGGAGACTCACCCTTGGGCTTTCCTATCAGTCTTCCCTAAAGTTGGCTGCTCTTGTGTCCTGTCACATAAAATTGTGAACCGAGGTCTCGGACTTACGTCACGTCATGTCAGTGGCCCAGAGGAGGGCTCCACAAGCAAGCATTCTGGCCCCTGCTGCTGGACTCCCAAGTTCATTTCATCTTTTATTGTATTGTTGACCTCCTTGGACACCCCGCACGCCTTACTGCATTGGCTTTGGCTCAGTGAGAGCAGAGATTTGTGTGCTAACACAGCAGACCTAGACTTTCTGATCAAGACTGATGAAAACCTTTGCACTGCAGCCCGTCTCTGAGCCAGAGGCCTGAGTCTTTTCACAGGGAAATGGATGAAAATCCGCAGTAAGAGGTCAATGACTTTACTGACAGATGCTGCAGCAGGGAATATTTTTTTTTTAAAGAAGCTTCCTACAGCTGTCCTGGCAGCTTGGGCAGTAGTGCTAGCTATTTCCCCAAGTTGTCTTCCCTGTGTTCTCTGATACTAGGAGCCCAGATAGGAGTTTTAAAAATAGAATAAAAGGAAAGAATAGTAAAAGACCCTGAGATCTGACAGTGGGGCTCTGAGAGCTTGGGTGATTTGCCCGAGGCCACAAAGAGGAAAGATTCAAATCCAAGTTTCCTGGCTTTCAGTTTAGGGCTGTTTTCATTGCACAACCATAGTGGAGAGTCAGAAATGTTAATTTTATTGTGGAAGCCATCCAAAACCTTACCCTGTGACCCTGGAAAAAAAGATCAAGTCATATCAACCCTGTAAAGAAAATTTTCCAAACTAAGTTTAACTTAGAAATAAATAGCAAGAAATAAGTCAAGGAGAGATGTTCCCCCAAGACAACTGAGAGCCCCAATTTGGAAGTCATCCATGGTTATCTGTGGCACATTAACTGACCAGGTGCAAATAGCCAATTAGAGTTGAAAGTGGTCTTGGTGAAGACATTAATTTGGTGAAGACATTCAGTGCGTACCAATGGGAGAAACATCACGTACTCATTCTGTGACATGCACTGTCTCGGAATCATTAGTTTTAGCAAGTTTTACAATTGCATTTACAAAAGCAATAATGCCTGTTTCCTGTATAGTTTATGTAAGTAAACAAGAAGGAGACAGCAGAGTGCCATCTCCTGTGTGAAGCAAGACTTAAAAAATTTTATCTAAAGAAAGAAAGCAAGAGATCTGCTGTCTGCATTGTTCTGTAAGATAAGTTCGTAAGATAAATAGTTCTATTTTGAACTTAGCTCGGTAGAGCAAAATGGTTCTGTTTCCCACCACCCACCCACGTTGTGGACATCAAAGACTTTTTAAGGGGATAAAAAGGCTTCCAGTTTCTTGAGCTGGTCCTATTCTCAATCAGTAGACCACTGTAAAGGTTTTGTGGGAAGGTGATTGCATGTTTTTCCTGGCAGAACAATAATTTCAAAACCCTAGAGTTTATTTTAGGGTGAGTATAAACTCCTTATGAGCAACAGAAAGCACGCACATAATTTGAACGCAGAAAGGATATTCCATAGGGATTAGAAATAAAACCTGGGAGTCAAAAAGGCATTGGGTCTAGTTCTGGGCTCCCCTGTTTTCCAGTGACTTCTCAGGGCTAATCTCTTGACTTCTTCATTTGTATTATGAGACTATTTCTAACCCCTATCACTTGGATTATTTGTAGTAAATGAAATAATAAACTATAAAAGTTGTGTAGAATAAAGCAGGTGCTCAATAAGCATTTATTATTAAGTGGAAACTACCTGGGTCCACCACGTAAAGACCAAAAAAAAAAAAAAAATGCCAATTATAATTGAATACCCAGTGCGCTTAACCTTAAATGTCAAAACATTTCAAAATAATCTATTTGAATAATGACTGTAATTTTCAAGTTTCTATTTGACTTTTATTGATTGTTCATTAATTTGGTGAAGACATTCTAAGAATGCATAATTGTTGATATTACCTCAAAGACTTTTTGGGAGATTTTTCAGGGATCATACTGAGCCCCAATATGAAAGCACATTAGCCCCAAACGTGAAATTTCTAAAGAAGTTCATTGTGGACTTAGACTGCCATTTATTTTTTTAAGTGTTAACTCGTGGGACAACATAAAATTAGTTCTTGGTAAAGACAAAGATTATTCTCTACATGTGAAGTGGGGAGATAGGAACTTTCTGCATGTATTCTTCTAAGTGAGCAGTACCATGGTGTACTGATCAATGGAGGAGAAAAATTTTCATTCCCCCAAACATCTATGGGATGCTTTTGCCATGCTACCTCTGCACAAAAAGAATTGCCGAGTTATGCTCTTGTTTTTATGGTATTTACAACTGAACTTTCACATTGAATCAATATTTTCTTTGCATATAGCCAGCACAATTAAAGGCTCTAGTTGAAATCTTAAAATACTTTTCTTGTTCTATACAAAATGTTAGCAATCTCAAAATATGTGTTTATACTGCATATGTGCCAGCAATTGTATGAATAGGTATGGAATGAAGTGAATGATAAGTTCATTCATCATTTGAGTGGGAAATTAAGCTGCGAGACTATGATAGCATTCTTTGGTATCTCAGACAATGCTTAGTAGCCCAGCAGCAACACCACCTTCTCTAGCATCTGTTTCTCTAGTGGAGAAGTGGAGAGCTATGTGAATAAGATTAAGTACACATCTTTCACCCCATTCCTATTCCTGGCCCTGGCTCTCGATGTCTTCTGACAATATCAAGTCATTTATTCTTTGGCTTTAAAAACTTACAAACTTACAAACTCCTTTCCCCAAATAACCTCCACTTCATGAAAGGTATTACCAAACATTGCTGGTGAATTGAAAACCCACCTGTATTCAGATGTCAGTATCGACCGACCCCAGCACTCCCACCTGGACAATCACAAGAATTTCTTAAGGGTCCCAGTCACATCTCACACCATCCCCATTTTGACTCTCCACCTTGCCTCCTAATACTCTATTGCCAGGCTGCTTTCAATAGTGCACAGAACTGAGGTGCTCAAAACCACCTTGCTATTGAAATAAAGTCCAAAGTCTGCATTCAGACAATCATCTCACTGTAGATCACTTCCCATCTTTTTTTGACTGCTCTCTGCCGGCTCTCCAGAATGGACCATACTAGAAGCTACTCAAAGCTCTCTGCAGACTTTGACTGGCACTTTCCTGAGCCATTTGTTGAATGTCTGTGCTTTCTACCTAGAATCACCTTCTCGCCTTCCCTACTTATAATGCCAAATGCCTGTCTGTTTGACACTTTCCCTTCACCTAGACCAGACTGATTGTATGTCCCCTGGGCCTCACCTAGGAAGCTATTCTTTTCTCTTACAAAACCATCATCACATCGGTGGCACCGTGGCTTTCCTGTCCTCAGCCATAAGCGCTGGGAGAGCAGAGAACCATGCTTTGCTTGTTGTTTGTACTTGTTCAACCTGAACAATGAACCTGAAAGGAAGGCAGTATAGTATCAGTGGAACAGAGGTGTTCCTGAGGGCACAGGAATGGCCTCGGTGACTTCTGAAATGTCCCTGTGACTGTGGCATCTTCCACAGACTCTACTGGGACAGGAGCTGCATGTTAAACTTCCCCACATCTGCTTAGGAACTAACACAGCACTGACTCAATATCTAGATATATATGGGACAACATCCATGGTGTAATCATCCCAGAAGCAATAGATCCTCTTTTGCAGAATGCATTTCCAAAAAGAAATCCAGTCCTACCCCCCACCCCCATCCCCTAAATGAGACTTAGGCTCAAGTTAGAAATATACACATAATCTAATAAATACTATTGTAGTAAGTACAATACTGGAGAAGTCCTGGACCTAAATCCCAGCTTTGCCTCTTTTCCCATGGGCTAATATCTTTTCCCATGGGCTAATATCTAACCTTGCTGAATTTTAGTTTTTCCATCAGTAACAGGAAAAGAAAAATCCCCAAGATAGGGTCTTTATTATGGGTGGTGCATGTTACATTTCTGAAAGGTGTAACTGTGCCTCTTTCCTCTTCAAGATTTATTTATACAAGCACTGGGTATAGTCAGAAGCACAGGAGGGTGAGAGAATTCACCAGAGCCAGAGTAGGGAACAGAACAAGCAGACTGACAAAATACACTGCTGAGGGGAGCAGCGGGCACAGCAGGAGAGGTCTGTGTGCCATGTGGGACCCTCGTTGGTGGCCGGGGACTGAACCAGCGCTGCAGAGGCAGCTTCACAGCCCAGCACTCAACCGTTGTGCCACCAGGGGAGGCCCGCCTCTTTCTTCCTCAAACTAAAATGTCTTGTGGATTGACTCGGAATGAAGTACCCAGGTTCTGGAGTTTAACCTGGGGCCAGTGATTTTCTTTAGGCCTCCATTTCTTTTTTGAAAAACTAGAGATAACAAAAACTACTTGTGAAAATGTGCTTACCCAAGCTTAGAGCTTAAAAGCCGTGGTTTCAATTACATTTTTCACTCTTTAGGGGAGAGTCAGCACTGATGTGTGCACCCTGTGCCAGTCATCTTGGGGCCAGTGAGACACAACTGGGAGGCGCTGACCAGGGCAAAAGGCATAGTCTACTCTGTGAAGCCAACTGGCTTTTATGTTTTTAGAAAAGTTTACATCTTGCAGGGTAGTTTCAAATCCCCAGCAGCAGACTGACATTAAAATCTAGAAATTATATGCTGATTAGGAGGGGGTTGGGTTAGACACTGGCCCATCATTTTATGGACAGGTCAAGGGACACTAGTTACCAGATGCTAGGGGGACAGTATTTCTGTGAAAAGGCACAGAAGGGACCTCTAGTATCAGGTATCAAGAGGACTGACAAAGGGTGTGGTCATGCATGTCTGTTTCTTTCCCTTCCCCAGCAAAGGCAAACATGGTGGACTTCATTCTCACCTCAAATACATGACCCATCACCCACTAGGGGAGACTGACTCAAGTGTGTGCCCTTGTGTTGAGAAAGTGTTAGCCCAATTTGCTTTAACACTTAATTTTTGAGCTTCCTTATCTCAGGTCTCCAAGAATAACATATATAAGTATAAAAGATTTTGCAAGATACAAAGGGGCCATGTCAGGATCATCACAGTAGTGGCATATATTTGGATTTTGAAGCAGGAAAACCAATTTTCAACTGAGACCAGAATGATGAGTTCTTGAAGTGAGAGATGACTTACTCTGTCCTTCCTAAGATCCCATTGTGTCATTTGATTTTAGTGACTCTTTTTTTATGTTGATGTGATCTTCCATAGTTACTCAGAACAAAATGCGTAAGAGTAACCAGGATGCACATCCAAAAGATTAATATTTTCCTTGTCTATATCCACATGGATTTTATGAGTTTCTGGTACCTGGAAATGGAACAAATGGTAATACCAGCAAAAAAATAAAATATATACATATCTCTAAGGCACACACGGGGGTTCCCCTTGGCACTATCAGATCTCTCTATTGAATGTCCTAGACCTCAAATGAAAGTGTCTTGGCGAGGGAAAGGCAATAATAGCATGACCTATTATCCAAAATGAACATGCAAGCCAGATCACTTTGCAAAGTGTCCAGGATTCCAAAGCATAAATGCAGACACACCCTTAAAAGAAGCACTGGGAAAGAGAAAACTGGCCCAATTCCTGATTCTCACTGCATCCAATTGGACTGGGTGATGACGGAGATCAAAGGCAGGCAGCCACTGGACGGAGGGCTGGGTGGAACTGGCATCTTCAGAGCTGCTGGAGATTTGCCAACTCAACCACTCCAAGGAAAAGCAAACTGAAAGCAAATATGGGCGAGTAATCGAATGCACATGAGGGTCCTCTTCACAAAATGAAGTGTGTGTGCTCCCCACGGAGAAATTTCCAGATCTCCATAGCGTATATTCGGGGCAAATAGAAAAGCCTCCCTTTCCACACAGAGCCTGAATGTTGGGTTTCTACAGAAAGGAAGTGGGCAAAATGTCCTCTTTGTCATGGTCACCATCCTCTCCCCTGCCTTCCTCCACTTTCGTATCCCTTCACCCAAATAACTTTGTTTCTGGTCTTGTTTCTAAGTAAAATCAGATTTTTCAAATTTGGGTGCATTTTCTCCACAATAGCAAGTGTTCCTCACTCTGCTATTCATGATGCCTTTGGTTAAAAAAAAAAAAAAAAAAAAAAAGGTTGCCCCAGTGCCTCAATGATGTGACATCGTTTTCATGGTGCCTTGCCGCCCTCTGATGGGTTCAGAGCCCTGATAAGACCATGCCTCTGATTTCAGGGACCAGGTCCACAGAAGACACCAAGGGCCAATTTGCACCATTAATCCTTCACTACCTTCTCTCCCCTTATTTCTTGCATGTAAGGCTGAGATTAGTTTAACCTCCGACTGCCCACCCCCACACATTTCCCAAACCCCACACCAGCCTTGAAGTACAGAAGGAAGATAACATTTACTTCTCCCCTGGCTCACTGTAATATGGGAAGATAGTATCGAATGGGGACTCTGGATAGGGAAAACCTTGAAAATGAAAGCGTAAATAAGGAGATAAGGAGAGAAAAACAAAGAATATTCTTTTCAAACTCCATTACCTTTCAAAAAGTATGGATTACATTCTCATAGAGGGAAACAGGAGAAAGTAGAGCAGTCTTTAAGGAATTTTCTCTCACCAATTTTTCTCCGATCCCTTAATTGTGTTTAAGTCTTGTTGAGTACTTTGTTTACGGTCCCTAGTACCGTGATTTGCATCCCCCACTCTGGGTTGCCGCTGGCCGGAGCAGGCAGCTGTCTCAGTCTGACTCGGGCTGGGAAAGGTAAGGATCTTTGCCTTGCTCTTTGGAAAAACTGGGAGAGAAATGTTGAATGCTTACAGAGGGCTAAGGTGAACGTGGGGGGTATAGATTTAATTCATGCATTGGAAACTTTCAGAAAGTTCTCCAAATTTTAAAGAATCTCCTGGAGCCACATGTTTTAAAAGAACCAGAAAGATCTGAGCCTTCTGAAAGAAGGCTCTCAGAAAGGATACTGGTTGCATTGTTGTATTGGGGGCAGGTGTCCCTAAAGGGACTCCTAGGGATGTTTCACAGCTTATAGGTACAAAGTGGATGAAGGAAAAGAAAAAATTCAAAGACATCCAAGCATTGATTGCTAGGAATTCTCTTTGAATTTCCATTTGAAGAGGTAAAAGTAGATTAAAAACGCAGGTGTCTGAGCATAATGATAGACTTCTGTTCTTCAGGTATAATTTCTGCTCTATCTCAAAGCTTTGTACTTCTTTGCATTTATCAATGTAATCACCAGTTGTGGAGTCTATGCACATCTGTGTAGTGGCAGATGCATACACTCTAGAGAAGAATTAGGGTAAAAATGACACCTGAAGTCTGAAAAGGTGAAGCCTGCCTACAATGTCAGCTCCCTGTGGAGAAGAGGTACCTCTGGCTTCTCACTGGAGCAAGTTCTATTCATTCGCCTTTGACTTTGGTGATGGGGAACATGATCTTCAACAATTTAAGGTGGGATTCGGAACTTTGGTGAGCTTATCAGGTACTTTCGGAGGCCCTGGTTAGGAAGTATTGAGCAATTTCCTCCAGAAGTGATAGTTCGAGAATGGGAGGACTGCTGCTGTTTCAGAGGCTCCTTGAGAACCTCCACTCAATGCAGCCAGCAGCCCCCAATATCATGATCTTCCCAGGGCAATGCAACAAAGAGAAGTGCTGAAGTGCCTGTTCTAAGTGTCCCTTACCTTCAAGGCCATGTGATAGCACTCCCGGTGATGGGCTCTGTCCCAGCAAGCTGGGCTCCCCCAATTCAGACTCAGTCAGGCCTCTGGAAATTTTCAACTTTATTTTTGTAAAAAAAAAAAAAAAAAAAGCCCTCTCTCTGTCATTGTAAAGAAAGGGATTTCTGGTCCCTCTCCCTTTACAATGAAATCATTAATGTTTGGCTAGCTGAGGAGACTGGAAAGAGCAGGCTGTGTGAGAACAGAGGGGGAGATTCTGGGGAACATCCAGCCCTCTGCCAGCAGCTGGAAAAATCTAACAACTTGAAAGAGGCAAAATAAATCTCTTCCAAGATTTCATTTGGATCTGCAGGTTTCTCTAGTAATAAAAAGTTATTAAAACTTGCATACATTAAAAAAGAGAGGACGGATTACTTTTAACTAGAGGAGCATAGGGACACGCTTCTAATAGTGCCCCCACTTTACCTAATTTTTTTCCCTCTAAAAGACAATCTAGAGCCTTAAATTTTCAAATAACTTGCCTGTAAGAACGTTGTCTTTGGATGGGAAGGGTGAAAAATAGACTTAACTTTGCTGTTTGAGAGGGTGACATGTCAAGCCATATATGTTTGAATGTCTAAAATATCTTGCTCCTTAAAGTGGCCCAAGGAAACAGCCCATCAGCCGGGAGTCTGTCACAGACTTACTGATTCAGAATATACTCTTGACAAGCTCCCCATGGGATTTATGTGCCCATTAAGACTGGGGTTCAAACCACAGGTTTTTCTCTTTCTGTGTGACCTTTGTCAAGTTACTTAACCTTGCTGAGCCTCACTTACATACTATAAAGTCATTTATAAATTCATGTGTAAACTAGTGGAATCAATATCAATGCATGCACACTGTGTGCGCCATCCCCATAGTAGATCTCAGCAAATAACAGCGGCATGATGAGGGTGTGTAGATTTCAGCATTTCTAGTTACTCATCTCCTTGCATAAGTAGTAAGTAACCCTGTTTAAACCCAGATGACAGGGTTTCCCCTTTAATCACAAACATTTCTAAGTCCCACCCTGATTCCTAAATGAATTAGCATCAAGTAAGGGGAGTTTTAAGCTTCAGATGACCAGCACACACATAAGTAAAGAATACTGGGGAAACCTAGGAACAAGGATCTTTGCTGGCTTAGAGGCTGAATTCAGCTGCCTATGACTTCACAGCTGTTCCTGCTGCCCTAGCCTGTCTGTCCCTTCGGCTCTGTCCCCTCAGCTGGGTCTGCAACGCTGACTCGGGGATTTTCTTATAAAAATGCCTGATGGGTGGGAGGAAAGATGTGGAGGTTGGCTGGGGGAAAAATGAGTAATGCAAAGCAGTCTACTTAGTAATTGCTCTAAGGGAAATAAAAGTAAAAGCCGGCTCCTGTCTCTGGGGACTCTAGAATGATTTCTGACTTATCATGTCACTGGAGGGGGGGTGGGGGCAAAACTCAGAATCTGCTGGCAAGGAAAAGAACTAAGGAAAAAAAAATGACAGGGAGGGGCAATCCAGAGGGGGAGGAAATAAAAAGAGAGAGAGGGAAAGACAAGCGTCATTTAGGAACAGAGGTAGAGTGAGAGAAAGAGCTCCAGGATCAAAAACCCACCACAGGGTATTTTTTATATCTTGTCTTTTCCCCAGGGGAGACCTCTGTCTTGTCATTTTATTGACTGACGTGCTGTTCCAGGCTCTTTTCCCAGAAGTTGTCTGAAGAAGCTGCTGGGCTGCTGTTTCTTCCTGCCCAAGCCCAGTGGTTTCCCTGGTAATGGATGGCTTCTCTCGGAGGTACGTGTAAGGAGTGTGGGACAGATTTTCCTTTTTCACGTTAGCTTAAGTCTCTGCTTTTAAAGTGAAGTTTTGTTGTTTTTTTTTTTCTTTCAGACCTATCCTCTTACTAGTATCCTCTTACTGGTCAAGTATTTAGGATATGATTGGACAACAATGATTAATTTGGTGACTAAAAGTGACGTGCAGTTAGCTTTAACATTTAGCTTCTTTGTATAAGGAGTGGTATTTTGACCTCCTCAAGCCTCCTGTGAGGTTTGCTTTGGGCTGGAATTTGTTTTCAGTGGATGCTAAATAAGTTCACAAAATATTAATCTCATTAAAATGATCTCCAGTGTCTTCCTTTAAACTTTTCTGGCAACTGTAACGGCTCCACTCTTTAGCAGCTAGATGGCTCCTGGAGGACAAAAAAAGAATGACTTTCCATGTCTGGGCAGCAGACAAGAGCACTCACTGATTTCTCACAGACAGTTTTGCAACCAGATGCTTTCGATTGAGAGTCTCAGATTTTGTCCTGAAGCTTTCAGGTTCAGATGTTTGGAAGGATGTATCACAGCAAGTTTTCCACACAAGGACGTGGGGGCAATAATGAATTTGTCAAACTTTACTGAAAATCTAACGTGCATTTTTTTTAAACATGTCATGGTACATATAAAAATTCCTTGCTAAATTTAATGGAAAATTTGTGAATTGGCAGCCAGTGAAATTTTCTAAGAGTTTATTTTTCATGTAAGAAAGCACAAAATGATAGCCCATGATATTGTTGACCTGTTTTTCTTATTTTTCCCTTTTGAAATGGATCAGAGGAGATGGCCATATTTCAGATTACAAATCCTAGCCTATTGTCACTGAATTTTTGCTCAACTATTTCCCCACCTTGGGCCTTGCTATGCATAGATGCACACTGCACTGTGTTTAACAGTCACACAATAAAGACTTGGTGACTGCCCACTGATGTAGAAGGACATCATTTGTTCACTGGCCACTGGTGTTGAATGGATTTGGTGGACAGCTGAATGGGTGATAGTTTGGAAGGAACACATATTATGCCCCCAAACAGTGGCATGGTCTAAATTGTTATGAGTTGTGCAGTGAACTGTGGGAAGTACTGTGTATAATGTAGACGGTAGACAGTGTATATAGTTAAGTTTTGTATATGATTTCCTCTTGAATGAAGCTGTCTTCCATTGCAATGGAGGCTTTTCTGTATGTTTAGAGGAAAGAGAAGCAATAGACAAAACGGAAAAGCTTGTAAAACATTTGTAGACTGCCAGGGCATATTAAACACTGTAAAGTGCTTCCTGCTTTTTATTTCTTCCCTTTCTTTATGGTTATCTGCTTCATTGTGCTTTTTTGCCCAATGCAAAAAGAATGCAAACAATTAGGAGGAAAAAAATGAAAGTTGACTTTCACAGGCATCTGTGCCTGCTGGGAAAGAACATAGTGGTGCTGCCAGGTCTGTCCTGCCACTCGCAGGGCTCACTCTTGTGCATTTAACTGATGGCTCCTGTCTTCTCCTCCACAGTTTCCACCCTGGTGAGAACCCCCCCATCTAGACTGTGAACTAGTTAGGAATCACTGCCATAAAAAATGACCGAAGAGCCCATAAAGGAGATCCTGGGAACCCCGAAGTCTCCCAAGCCAGGGACAATGGAGAAGAAACCCACTAAGGAAGTTGTGGTCAACCCGGTCCCCCTGGTCAGTGAGATTCAGCTGACAGCCGCTACTGGGGGCGCAGAGCTCTCCTGCTACCGGTGCATCATCCCCTTCGCCGTGGTGGTGCTCATCGCCGGGATAGTGGTCACTGCGGTGGCTTACAGCTTCAATTCCCACGGCTCCATCATCTCCATCTTGGGTCTGGTCCTTCTGTCACTGGGACTTTTTTTGCTAACCTCCAGTGCCTTGTGCTGGAAAGCGAGACAGAGGAGCAAGAAAGCCAAAAGACGGGAGAGTCAGACGGCTCTCGTGGCCAATCAGAGAAGCCTGTTTGCTTAAGCCTGAATGAGACCAAATGGGATGTGTGACCTGAAAACTCTGCTCCCACTTCCTCAGCCGCTCCACCCAGAACGAGTGTGGGAGACAAGGGATGGGATCTGGCCGTGGAGCAGACCCAAGGCACGGGGGCAGATGGATGTGGGAGGGCATGAGGGTTCCCTTCTATGAGGAACAACTTGTGTCTTGTTTAACGACAAACTTAACTCTAAGGGCTATTGCTAAGACTGAAAAATCTGTTTTGTCTATGTGAAACATGTAGGGGTCATGGGAGGTTTACAGTATTAGACAACATTTGGTTCACCTTGGAAAGTAGCCAAGAAAAGATGCTAACAAAATCGGGCCATTCTGACACACCAGTGACCTGCCTCCAAAAGAAATCACGCACACTTTTCAGAAGTTTTATCATAAAAATATCTGCCGGGAGTCTACACTGCCCTGAACCTTGCCTACTTCTATGATTTCTGTGATCCTTTTTTTTCATTAAGTTGATTCTCTGGCATCTGTTTTATTTTTCACTTTCAGTAACTCATCACTGGTGGTACTTACTCTTGAAGAATAAACTAATTTTTTAATGTTTTAACATTGGACAGTTTGAAATGATTATAATGAGTGTCAGAAGTAAAAAAAAAAAAACAAGGTAAGAGGTGTAACTACTAGATGACATGGGGGGGTTTAAGTTAATATTAAAATAATCTAATATAGCACTTTTGATGATTTTTATATAAAAGTCTAATGTACATTTCATTCAAAATAATAAATACTCATTGCTGCTGAAACTTCTTAAATAGTTGTTTCTGTTGTAGTTATTCTTATTGCAATTCTAGTTGCTCAGCCCCTTGTGACTCATCTGCAATATCTCAACTTTATTTGTCAAGTGACCATTTACTTCTTCCTAAGTGGAAGATTTTTTTTTATCATGTCATTATTTTTTAAGATTGATTTATTTATGCACAGAAGAACTGGGATATAGGCCAGAGATGCAAGGGGTGAGAGGATTCTCCAGAGACAGAGTGGGAAGCAGAACAGGCAAATCTACTGAAATAAACTGCTGAGTGGACCAGCGGGCGAGACAGGAGAGGTCTGCTGTGCCATGAGGGTTAGCTCCCTGGCCTGGGATTGAACTCAGGCTGTAGCAGTGATATCAATGAGACTTAACCCCTAGGCCACCAGGGAGGCCCTATCATGTCATTTTTTCCCCATGGCTTCTAAAGAATAATATTAATTGTGCTTATGACATTTTAAAGGATCTCTATACTTTACAATTAGGAAATCAGTTCCTGGGGTCAGGAATTTTATAAAGTGTTGCTAAATGTATGTTATTTATTGAATCAGTCATGAACTCTTTGCTTAACACATGTTTTTGAGCCCCAAATATATATCAGGCTTTATGTAGGTTCCCAGGCTACTGAACTGAGTTAGTTACAATATAATGCAAATAACGTCACTGCTTGCATTCTGTGGACAGAGAGCTATTCTACACACAGCTGGGACTCTATCCCCTAACTCTAGCCAGAAATATCCCTGGTCTGTGTTGTTTAATCATGTTAAACTACAGCAGGAAGACAGCTAGGTTTGAAGCCTTTTGGAAAAACAAAGCAATACTACTTTCCATGAAAGACATTCTATTGGAGAATTAAAATTAAATGTGGCTGGAGTCCTCTGGCACTGACTGCTCCCTGGCTCTCAGGTAGTTCTGTTAAGGGGGAAAGCCTTGGTGAATGACCTAGTTTCTCCTGGCTTTGAAGTTCACAAGACAAAAGTCAAGCTGTTGATTATAGTAGAGTGCACCACAGTTATCTTCAATGTGATCCACCGCTCTGGGCCAAATCCAAGTGTATGGATGGCATTGTGTTTCAGTGGGAAGGGGTCTGTGCTTTCACAGGCCTCTTTTTTGCTTAAAGATATTCTAAGGCTCCCCATATGTTGATGAAGAAATTTTTCAGGCAAGCATTCAAGCTTCTCCATGGTCTGATCCAAATAGCTTTCAGTCTCACTCCAACCCAAAAACTCATGAGTTAGCCAGCCAGACTATTCGCCATTCCCAAATCAGGCTGTAGTTTTCCTGCCTCCATGTCTGTTCAAACTTCTGTTTTCCCTCCTCCATAATGCCATCCTCTCTCTCTCTCCATCTCAATGTACTTAAATCCTGCTTCTCACTAGAGCCCCAGGATAAATACATTCTCTTCCTAGAAACTTTCCCTTTTTATGAAAGTTACTGCCCCCTCAAGATTCTCTGATGGCATCTCTGCCATCAGATGGCATTATTCTCTGATGGCATCTTCTATTTTCTCTCTTGCTAGTAACATTAATGTTTTATCCTCTTCCAAAGCTCCTTACTGCATGATATGTCTTTTTTTGCTTTTTATCCCCATTTAAGGCCTAACACAATATTTTAGATGGAGTAGGTAGCCAATAAGTGTTTGTTGAATGAACGAAAAATCAGAAAGTGAGTGGTTTTACAGAATTACAACCCATTTGTTTTAATCTCCTAAATGAAAATACTTTGGTTCTCAACTCTCCCCATATAGGTCATCTTAACATGTCTTGCCTCTACTGTAAGCACAAGAGCTGGGTGTTCACAACTTTTGCATTTCTCCAGTAACAGCTAACCTTCAAAATGCTTAAAAAGTAAACTCATAAATTATTTCAGGCCACCAGGGGGCCTCATGCTGCTGCTATCTGAGTCCCAAAAGAAATGCTGTGGGTGATTTAAATTGCAGTGACTGCAGCAGGATTGGATCTAAGATACAGCAATCTTTCTACTAAGCCATTTCACAATGGCTCTCTCTGAGTTCTCCTAGTAAGCACTAGAAAAACTTGTCCTGTGTCGGGACCCTTCAGTCACATGTAAATGTACATAATCCTTAAAGCTGTAGGGGCACAAAGTCCTCCAAGATTCAGATAGTCCAACCCCCATGAGGAGACTTGAACTCCCATAAATCCAGACTTGAACTATGATGTCATAACTATCTCAAAACATATGCCTTAACTGGGCAAGTTTTTTCTTTACAAATGCTATTATATAGCATCAAGCAGTTATTAACAGCATATAGTAGCATGATGCTTGCATGTGGTGTTCAAAAGCTAACCTGGTCCCATTCTGGAATATCAGAAGCCATTTCTATCATCCCTAACCACCTCCACATTCCAGAGTGGACAGGAAGAGCCCATCCAGTGAAACTGGCTTGTGCTCAGGTAAGAACTATAGCCACCTCTACTTTCTCCACCTCACCGGTCTTGGTCAATGTGGGAATCTTGACTAGTGAAGACTGTCAACATCAGGTAGATTGTGCAGGTGGCTGAGGCCAGAGGATTAGCCCAGAAGAACCAGATCACAAATCCTCAAAACCACCTCTTTGCACCACCACTGAGAGAGAGAGAGAGAGACAGACAGACAGACAGAAGAGAAAGGGAGGCATGGGGTGGGGCAGGGAAGGGAGGGGAGGGGAGGGGAGGGAGTCTGTCATCTGGGAAGTATTACAGTTATGAAAATCTAGTTATGAATCCCAGATTTCCTGCTAAACTAGTCAGGTGATCTGGAGAAGTTAAACCTCATCTTTAAAAGAAGGCTAATTTTCAAATAAATTGTTTAGATTTTATAAGTTATAAAGCACTGCATCATTGCAAAATTACCACTTATATCTAATGTTGACTTCAGGTTCTTTCTCTACTTATTACCCCAACATATTATCAAGCCACCCCCCCACCCCCGCGCTGGTTAAATGACTTTAATTGGTCACTTGTTTAACCTTGACATTACCCACAAAGACTTCCGAGGGCCAAGATAATCTGGGGAAAGCACCTGTTCCAAAGATGAATCATGAGTTACATTTCCTTAATATTGTTATCATTTTTAGGGCTTTCACATACATTATAGTCATTGTAAAGCTATGTTAAATGTGCCCTCAACAGAAAAAGACATTAGGAGAGTGAAAAATGCCTTCCTCCTGCCCACCCTCCACCCTGACTGCCATTCAAGCCAATCTTGTGCTGGGCTGCCCCACATATAGGACAGTCAGGTCAGAAACCTGAAGAGAAACGAAAGAATGAAATTACTGATTTCTGGCTTTTGAGCCTCCGAGACATTCCAGTGATTTGCCAAAGGTCATCTGCTTTTTACATTCCTCCCTGACTTCACCACTTAATCCTGTGTACCACAGCACTCAACAGTACCTAATGGTGCTCAGCCTTGCCACCACTCGGAGACTAGGAGCACAATGTCCTCCCTCTCTGCAGAGGACCCTGCTGCGGCTCAAAGAACTGAAATGAGATTTTGAGTCCCAGGACCAATCAGCTGATGAGATACCGCTATCCCAGGTTTATGCTCAGCTGTCACCCCTATCATTTCCAGAATATGTATTTAGAAAAGGGGGACAAAAACACTATTCTAACCTCCTCTTTGGAAAGCATTTATTAATGTATAACATATATACAGAAAAGGGTAAAACTCAATGAATTTCACAAACCAACCTGTGAAACTAAAACCCAGAAGAAGAAACTTAATTTTGCAAGCCCACTGTCCCCCCGCTCCCCAACCCCACACCTCCACCAAATCTACTTCCAGTCCCTATCTCTCCAGGGGAAATCACTGTCCTCATCAATAATACACGTAGTAATTTGACCTGCTTTTAAGTTTTCAAGACATGAATCACACGGTGTGTAAGCTTTGTGTCTGACGTCTGTGCAGTCACATGCTTGCAGGAGCGTCAGTATTGCTAGATACATGATAAACAGTTTGTTCTCATGGACGTGAACACTGTCATTTATCTATCCTTTCCACTATTGTAGACATTTGGATAACTTAGAGTTTCTTTTTTTTTTAAAGATTTATTTATTTATACAAGCACTGGGTACAGTCAGAAGCGCGGGAGGGTGAGAGAATTCACCAGAGCCAGAGAGGGGAGCAGAACAGGCAGAAGGACTGAAGTACACTGCTGAGGGGAGCAGCGGGCGAGACAGGAGAGGTCTGCGCGCCATGTGGGACCCTCACCAGCGGCCGGGAATCGAACCGGCGCTGCAAAGGCTGTGGGCAGCTTCACAGTCCAGCACTCAACCGCTGCGCCACCAGGGGAGGCCCAATAACTTAGATCTCTCTCTCTCTCTCTCTCTCTCTCTCTCACACACACACACACACACACACATCTTGCTCTGGGGGAAGCCATCTGCCATATATGAGGGAATGAGGCCTCCAGCCACATCAGAGCAGGACTAACAACTGCCAGCAACTACCTGAGTGAACTTGGAAGTGAATCCACTCAGTGGGTTCTTCTGACAAAGACTCTCTCCCTAGCTGACAAGTTGGCTGAAACCTTATGGGGACTCTCAGTCAGAACCACCCATTGCTGAGCTGTGTGCTGCATGTTATGACTTCTGTGGCCCTAGGTACATTTGCCATTGTGGGCCTTTTCCTCCACCAGGAAGAAAAGAAAGGGAGGGGAAGACATGGGTTGAGGAGGGGAGGGGAGGAATTGTGTGAATGAAATTGTACGGACAAGCTGACAAGCATTGTGGACTTTTAGGCACTGCACACGCTGTACCTAATGGGTAGGTTGGCCCTTTACCCAGCTAAGAGACTCTCAGATTCCTAACCCACAGAAACTGAGATAAGTCTGTTGTTTTAAGTTGCTAAGTCTGGGAGTAGTCTGTTTCTCACTGATAGATAGTTAATACTATGCTGTTGTGAAACTTCAGCACAAATTTTGATTCATACACACACACTTTCCTTTGAGTACAGATGTAGACGTGAACTGCTAGTTTTTGAAAACAGTTGAATC